TATATATATCACATCCGCTTCTGGTGCAATGCACGCCTGACTGTCATTCGTATGCGTCTCGATGTATCTATACTTGACGCACAGGGCGATATAGAGATCGATCAGTCAATCAGCAACAAAGTGAATGCCGTACAGCGGAGTGTGGCTCAGTGCCTCAATTCAAACGGAGGTAAGCATGAATGTGAACCTCATGCATGATATTATTCCGTGTATTTCAACAATTAGAGTGGTCAATATAGCACTCGAGATTCGTGAGATCGCTTATGCGATGATTTGTGGCCATTCAACTGTACATGTCTACTGTAACCGCAACTTAAAGTCGGCTGCCAATGAGAATGTGCTCGCCCATAGAGCTCAGGAGACGTTTTATTAATTTATTTTACTCTAGAGACTCTAAACGATTTGATCTTATATTTATCCTTCCACACTGCCTCTCGATGATAATAGGATCGGCGAATTTTAATGAGATTGTGGAACATGTGTCCAAGCGATGGCAAACGCTGAGAAAGAGAGACGGCCTGCCCTACCACACCCGCATTAAGTGAGTGCTCTGTGGGGCAGAGACGCAAATGGTTTGTTGGTGCAGTGCTAGTGCTGCATACAGGTCAACTTCTTTTGAGACAATTCAGAGACATGTGCGAGTGAGTTGTGCCTCTGATTCAGGCAAAGTGGGTGTACGGCCTTCCTGGCGCTTGCTATATATATGTCATTCTTGTTGTTCGATTGGCGCGTGCGGCGGTGCGTTAATGGCCCCTACGTTTGCTCGTGCTAGTTAACGGGGACTCGTGATGACAGGCGGATGCCATTGGAAAACAGTGCTCAGACTTGTCACAGTCGGATGCGCACGCCATGGAGCACTGCGTGTTGAGCATCAAGACATATGTGTTAGGCTCATACCGTTGGCTATACTCATCACCAACCACAATAGCTCTCGTCGGTCGCTGTGCACTCTGATACACACCACACAAGCATTTTGACAGCCCACACCCATTCGGTGGACACTCGCGCAGGGAAACTTTAGTGTACTTTACATACGTGTGATGGAGAACTTTAAAAACCCAGTTTATTAGCCTAGCTTTAGCGCTAACGGTGATACTGTGAGAATGCGATGTTTGTTGGGCTGGTTAGTGGCTGACGAGTTTGCCACGACTTCTGTAGGATTGTACATCAATAACGGGGTATCAGAATTCGACGGCGACTTTTACACGTTCTCCTCATATTGATAGGCGTAACTTTGCTGGACACGTTCAGTCTTGCACGTGTGTCATAAGTTTGTTTGGCAGATATATGCGCAGCTAATATGCGCCAGGGGTTTGATAGTGACAACCCTGGGTATTCAACACTGATTAAAGATATCGATTGCGAGACAATCACGTCTACAAAACTAATACCGACCACTCTTGCCTGTCGTGCTATATCGCTCCCACCCCATAGACAAGCGGTGGAAGACGCCTTAACGAGCAGCGATGTGCACGGTCTATTTCAGGTGGGTGGTATTACATACTCTATTGTGTGGGGTGTGGTGGTGCTCATGGTACATCCCCTGTGTGTGATGTGCACGGTCTCTTTCAGGTGTGTGGTATTGCATACTCTATTGTGTCGGGTGAGGTGGGTGCTCATGGTACATCCCCTGTGTGTGATGTGCACGGTCTATTTCAGGTGG